CAGGCGAATAAACATATTGTCCCAGCGATCGAGTCTTCTTCTTCTCGATTGGATCTATGTCTGTAAACTAATTCTGCAATCTCCTCACAATACTATCAACAGCTAAAGTGCTCCCCCAATAGTATCACCCAGCTCGGGCTAGGTGGCTGAAATAAGGATGCAAAAATGGAGGATGCTACGGCCCTACCGCCAGGCAACTCCCAAGTTGTGGGCACGCTATGTGGATGACACGTTCGTCAACGTTAAAAGGGGCCAGCTGGAAACAAGGCACAGTATTACTACAGCAGTGATGCCAGGAATAACCTTCATGTACGAGAACGAATTTGGTGGCATACTCTCGCTCCTTGTCGTTCTAGTACAGCGAAAGACTAGACTAGAGCAGACTCCGCCGCAGTAAACTTCTGATATGGATAAAAAACGCCGGCGTGTGAGATTGATGACCGTCATGGCACTCCTCAAAAACTGGACTGTCCATATTTTACGATGATAGGAAGTTACCAAAGCGCAAGTCGAGCAATGGTCGAATGCCTGGTGGATTGTGCCGGTTACCGCGAGCAAGCGTAACTCTCAACGAGTCGGTGGAAGTAGACAGTCGAGCAGCATATCGCTGCAAGAATTAGACGCCCGGGAGACTTGTAGTCTCTGTATTTAGAATAATCATCAATCTTTAGTATATCATGAGAAGTCAGAGAGTGACTGAAAAGGTCTCAGCTCACAGTGCAGTCAACAGCCATTGTTTACATATCTGTTATGTTGATTTTTTATCGAAATGAGCTATTCGCTTGCATGATTTGGGGATAGCATCAAAAAAGGCGTATTTTCTGTAATAGGCAGCGATTTGTTGCCAACCTATCACTACTACCGCTACTGCTACTACTATTACTGCTGTTATTACTACTGCTACTACTACGACTAATACTACTACCATTACGAATACTTCTATGACTAATGCGGACCAGTAGTAGATATCGTCGAGTGCATAAAGCCAACCAAAATACTTAAATCAAAAATCTGACAGAAGGAATAACGCCCACAGGCTATTTAAACGGAAAATCCAGTAGCCCGGGGTAGCTGAATAGCAAAACGCTGAACAGCTTAAATAATGTTTTTTTTTATTCACAGCAAGACGCACTGTAAAAAATAAGCTGGGATTTATCAATGCCGTATTTAGAAAGGTTACATATATAGAAGACAGAGACGGGGAATAATTCCAATAATACCTGATGTGCCCAAACCACCCGCAAATTAACTAATAGGTGAGGAAAATGGATAAGGTAAGAAAGGTGTTCACTGAGATACTATAAAAATTGTCGAAGCCAGTCTCGCCTCAAACGAGTGCGCAATTGAATTTGCAATTCAGTTGCCGGTTTCAATGCCTACAGATAAGAATAAAAATTATGTATGATTAAAGCAACGTTTCCCAATTGCAACTTTAAAGATATTATGTTCTCTTATAGAAGACTGTTACTCAATACTCAATGTCACCGGCAAAATGGCGAGTAAAAAGGGAATTTAATTATGAAAATATACTTTAAAATATATGTCAGGTCCGTAGGCGTTATAAACATATGTATGCTGATCCACTGATAAACCTATCCGAAGTAATCTTTGCGTAATTAGAGTCAAATTGGAAAGCTGCTGCCCGTTGTTTTTGTTGGTTGCGCTCGGGAATACAGTGCTCACCGATCTTGCAATGAAGCATACTCGTCCCGTTGTGCTTTGGAGCTCAATCTAGAGCTCTCGCAGACAGTCACATAACGGCTTGCACTGTATGATGAAGTGGAACCGCCAAAGGTTAGCGAGACTGGAATTGCCATTTCTTGCTTATTGTTCATCATCAGCCACCCATGTGCAATTCTAGAGGTAGCGACCCCGGGATTTGAACCCACAAACTTTGGTCGTTGAATGCACCAATCTTACACTGTACGACGGGCTCGTTGGTTTTGCTGGTTGAGATCGGGAGTATGGTGATAGTAGGGTGCCCACCGATTACATGTCGCCATACGACTACATGCGAAGACTGCAAATTGAGCTCAAAACACAATGGAACGAGCATTTTCCGTAAGTAGATCGGCGAGCACCCTACCACCACCACCACCACCACCATCATCATCATCATCATCACCATCATCATCAAATTCAGGTATACTTTATAGAAGTGAACGTTGCGCTTGTTTGGTAAGATGAAAAAAGTTTTAAAGTCTTAAAGAAAATTTTTACTCCGGTGATCAGGTCAGGTCAGGTTTTATTGAGGGAAATGTAGGTAAATACCTTTGAACTCCCTATTGGTACAGAACTGTTATTCAATGCATTTGTTCAGTAGAGCATTTCAGAACAGTGGCGTTGCCAGTAATTGAGACTGGGTAAGGGAGGGCCGGCAGTGAAAAAACTCCTTAGGCATGGTTCAGAAAGTCTAGGGGTTTGAATGCCATTTGAGAGATATAAGGAGAAAAACTGTCGTCCGTTATGTGGACTTTTTAGTTCTTGAATCTGTAAATTTATTATAATCTTGAAGATAAGGTTTGCAATCTTGTCTACAGCCACTGCTAATTTTGTTTTTAGTCCACTGTGACATGTTAGTAATAGTCCAAAGAAATTTATAATTTTTCTAACATGGAAGATAGCTGCTCGCAGTTTTTAATCCAGGAAGTGTAACGACAAGTCTCGCTCAAATGTACACGGAAATTGCTAAAGGTTTTTAAACTGAATGCTTTTCTATCCGAAAATATAGATGTGGAAGAAGACGTATTACCGAGTACAAGAAAGAATACTTTCATCCACATACATTTAAAAGAGCATTTGCTTTAATTTTTAGGGGGGTTAAAGATAGGTGGAAGACTGTTTTACTAGCTACGCATACTGCAACAGATGGCCTACAACAGGCCTAAAGTAGTTGTGTTACAAGCCTGGGAAAAATGGAAAGCGCAGGAGACACGTGTAAATTACCGGCAGGGAGGGTTCGTGTGGACGCGAAGGCGGCAGTGCGAACGGGTAGGCCACTTTTCCAAATGGCCTGCACCGTGAAATTGTAAATGGTGGCAGGCGCCAGGCTGTTTACGGTTTCCTCTGTGTTCTCCAGCTCATAGCTCCTCTGGAAAGTCATATTGGAGAGAGTTAGCAGGTAGTTTTTTCGGAGTTCAAAGGACGAACATGGTCTTGTCCAGGTCAAACGGATAGACGTGGGGGTCAGAGCATAGGCCGCAAACTTCCTCGCAATTGGGTCTCCTGCAGCATGGATGGAAACGGGCAATGGTAGGTATCAGTATCAGTTTATTGAGAGAAAGATAGGCGAATGCCTTTGAGCTCCCTAATGGTAATAAGATTGCTAAAAATTCATGGATACGACAGAAATATGAAAAAAATAAGTCAATTGCATGCTTGCAAGCGAAGAGCAAAAAGCTGGCGATGTCACAATTGTAATAAAATATGACTACTCACTTAGCACGAGTATTGTAAGGATAATAATAATAAATAAATAATAATAATATTAAATCAGCAGCAGCTGTTCAGAATTCATTTACTCGTCTACAAAAAGGCTAACAAACTGGTACGACATCCAGTATGGAAATTTCCGAAAGGATGAAGAGGGAGACTTTGAAATCAAAGTTGCGCGTATAGGGAAAATGTTTTTTGCTATTTGACCGACAGTCTCGGAATTATTGCTAGTTACAAGCGAGTTTCTTTCACACAAAGCTTTTATTGGTGCCTATGTTTTTTTGATAAACTTCGAATATGGCGATCGCCTTTCAGATGGTTGGGTGTAAACATTTGCATCTGAAAACGCAACCATGACAGGCTGAGCGTGGTTGTGTTTTGAACGGCCTATCAGATAAATACATTCTTTCAAAATTGCGCCAAGAGACAGTAACGTTTTCAGTTTTTCTTTCATCACCACCACCACCCCCCACTGTGGAAATATTTGCTCCGAAAAAAACGTGCATAACAGTGCTACTTCATCGAATGTCTTGGCAAGCTAAAGGTAGCTTATAGATATCAGGGGAATAATTGCAGAAAGTATTAGGTGCGTGACAGGGATTTAAGTTACCGGGATATGACTTTTTTACGGTCAGACATGAATTTACAATGAATACTTGAGTCGAAGACAATAAATTACTGCGGAAAAACCACACAATGCCTATTCTAGAAACAAGTAGTAACACAAACAATATAAATTCTGTACAGCAATTACGTTATACCGTACTTCCAAGATTATTTCTAGCTAAAAAGCCAGGCACGTGTTTCCTCGATATTTCTGGGGTTGGGATCCACAGTGGGTCCACAGCGCCCTCTATGCGATTTCTGGTTTATGACTTCCGGAGGATAATCAAGCGGACAATTTCAGAAATCATATATATATATATATATATATGTTCACTAAGGAATGGGCGCAGACCGATCCAACAGACTTCCCGCATAGAGAACGCCAGGTGACCCACTGAGGAGCCGAACCCTTCGTTTCTGCGTAATGTGGCAGCAGTAGGAACAGCGGCGAAATACGTGTCTGAGGTTTTAGCTGATACCTTTGTCGGAAGTACGGTATAGGAGAAGAAAAAGGGAAAGGCGAAAAACATTCTTGATGCTTTATAGTCGGGCATAACAAATCTCATTCTGCTCTATGCGGTAGCTTAAGAACTCATTTGTGCAGAAAACACGGAAAAGGCTGGTTAAAGCCAAGTTGAAAGTTGTTTCACTGGTTTGGCTTACAATACCTGTTGACCTACAACGGGAAGGAAGTACTTGAATTGAAAACCTGAAAACTGTAATGCAGGAGACATGCGTGAATTACCGGCAGGGAGGGTTTTTGCGGACGCGAAGGCATGCCAACGAACGCTTTTGCCATTTTTCCAAATGGCTTGCACAGTGAAGCTGTAAATAGTGGAAGGATTCAGGCCGGTGAAGGTTTTCTCGGTCTCCTCCACGTCAAACCTCTCCTCATGGGTCGCATTTGAGACGACGAGTATATATTGGGTACGAAATTCCGCGGATCGAATTGGTTTCTGCCACCTCACACGAATGGTGGTAGAGCTCATAGCCCAGGCAGTAAAATCTCTTACAAGCAGTTCATCTACAGAATGGAATGGAAAAGCAACATGTCAGAATAAAGTTTATCTTTTGAGTTATTCCCCAATCAGTTCGTGTGTTTTACAAGTTTGTTTTACTGCAATCGGGCAACTGCAGGGATCGGGCAGTTGCTCTTTAGCAAATTATGGGCTTGAGGCGTGTGGATTAAATGAGCATTCATATGAAAGCGACCATGTCCGTTAAATCGATACTGAAAAAAATTAATTGAGGCCTTGGGGGCTTTCGCAAAGTTAGGTTTGTTGTCATCGATATGGTTGATGGGCTAAGCTCTCTCCATGGGACATATTAACCTGCTCCGGCAAAGCCTCAGTACGGAATATGGGAACGGAAAATTATTGGGCTTGTTGAAGGACTGAGAACCCTGAATCTAGCAGCTCACGGCTCACGCGGTTTTCACCTCTTGCGAGGATTTTGGTTTCGTTAAACTTGAAAATATAACCCGGTCCCGTCGAGTAGGCTGCGACCTGAGAATTAGCGTCTTTCCTCCTCACCGCCACTGCGCGCTCTGCCCTTCGCTTCTGGAGTAATCTCCCGGTTTCTCCGACGTAGTTGCTTTGTCTACTACTGCACTAGATCCGGTAAAAACTCCAGTTGTTTTCTGCCATGACAGTGCGCCCTTCGGCCTTATAACCGGGCACTTGATGGCTACATCCAGCCTATGTGCAACTGCAATTACTAGTCAGAAGGCGGTTGCCTGCTTCCGAGGTATTCTGCACGTAAAGTCAGCTAGTTGGAAACTTCGCCTGACTGCAGCTGGAATACTCTATGGAACGTCAAGGACCGTGCTGGACAACAATGATCAAAGCTTAGGGATCACTGCGCTCGGAAAACAGACGACCAAACGTGAGCAGTAAGGGGATCTTATGCTAACCCTTCTGCATTATTTATGAGCTGGAATACACTCAAGGACACACTCATCACGCCTCAAGATATTAACCCGACAGTCATGCACGCACGCACATAATTCAAAAACGTTATTACGAAATAAGGTATGACTACGCTACTCACGATCCATAAGTATATTTCTATAGTTTATTTCGTGTCTTCTTCATCTTATGCGCTGAGCACTGGAATATCTCTAATGTTAAAATTCAAGAGTACAATAAAACTACGCAGGCAAAAAAGTTATGCAAAAATTCATGCACGAATTGGGGAGTAGATTCTGAAAAATTTTAAATACCCGGAAATAGATTGTCTATGGTAGTCGCCGCGACAGCAGAAACCGGTGTGCCATCGGCCCAAAAGGCTCGCAGAGTGAGGTTGTAAATACTAAACACATCCAGATCGCTAATGATGGTATCTGTCTCCCGAAGCGTATAGTTCGTTGTAGAACCGTGATCGTAGATGGTAAGAAGGTACTCGTCTTTATATTCCTTGGAAGGTTTCCGCCAAATCACACGGATGGACGTAGAGTTGATAGCTTCGGCCGTAAAATCTCCCGCAGCTGGCACACCTACAAACCAAAATGGGAAAGAGATATTAGCCATTTCAACTATCGTCCACCCGTTACTTGGTTCACATCACCAATGCCCCGACCCCAGATATTATCTCAGAGCTGATACAATTTGCTTCAATCGTTTGCACGGCCGGCAGAGTTAGATGGTATGCAAAGTTGCGAGGTAAGAGACACAATAGTTGGGAAAAGAGGATAATGAGCCGAAAGTTTCGTAATTTAAGTCGAATTCATCATCAAAGTCAGTGTGCGATAAGGGCATTCGACCATGTAGGCGTTGCAGTAAATATAGGATCCATTTATTCGACCTGAGCCCATTGACAGCTTTGCAATGCATCGCAGTAAAGCGTACTTTATGGTCTGGGCAGCCAGATGTTGCAGTATGCAGTTGCCATGACGGTGCAATAACAGACGTATTTGCAGTGCACACTCATACGACAGTTCGACCGTAGGTTTTGGACGATGTCCACGATAGGCATCACCAGAGCCTAGTGTTGCAGGGATAGCGACTTGTGCGTGAATTGGTCTTAAGTTATATTAGACTTGCGAGGCAACAACCACACTCACTCTTCCCTGTGGAAGGAGGCAGGGCAGAGACAAAAAGGCTGGAGATGGGAACGGGCGAAGATGGCTGGCGCGGATGAAGCTCCCTCCCCCGCTCGTACGCGTGCCACCACGCTCCTCCACACT